AGGTTTGTGGGTGATGAGACTTAAGGATGGTATATATTCAATAATTAAATTCTTATAGTTATATTGATGTTTTCATAAGAACATTTACAAAATTAACTTTCAAGAGGTTGAAAGAATTAGCAATTGTTTTTTGTACCTATCCTAGTTTGTGTGTGTGTGTGTGTGTGTGTGTGTGTGTGTGTGTGTGTGTATGTGTGTAATTACTTGTGCTTTGGCCAAATTTGTTAGATTTCAACTCCTGGGGAAACTGACTCATAACAAAGCCAAAATTTATTTCAACTCTTTGGGTTGGTTTGTCTATGGCTTTGTCTAAAAGTTATGCAAAAGTTATAATTGTACAGGGGTCTACACCATTACTAAGCAGGTGTGTAAGGAATATGCAACTTGCCAAAAGGGGGACATTGTTTTCTAAAAAAAACAAAAAAAAAAACAAAAAAAAAAACCAAATAGGAGATGGGAGGCCTCCTAAACTGAGACACTCCCAAAGTATCCAGGTGGGTACTTTCACGAAAGCGCCTAAGGTAGGGGACTGGAGAGATGGCTCAGCAGTTAAGAGCACTGGCTATTCTTGCAGAGGACCCGGGTTCAGTCCTCAGCACCCACATGGTGGCTAACAACTGTCTGCTACTCAAGTTCCAGGGGAATTTGATGCCCTCATCTGACCTCCAGAGGCACTGCACAGTATGGATTCACTTATGGACATGCAGACAACGCACTCATACACACACACACACACACACACACACACAAAATAAAAATAATAAATATTTTTAAAGTGCCTAATGTTATAAAAAAGAAACAAAAATATTCACTATTGGTAATGAACCAGTTTTACAGATGTACAGAGGCTTTCCCCCTCTCAACTGCTACTGTTGATAATGTGCTTAAAATTAACTTAGAGTAAGTCATGCAATGATTTTTGCCTTGTAAACTGTAGATATAGACTACATTAATTGGGACTATAATACCCCATGACACTCCCATCTGGGAACATAAAAAGTAAATTAATCTCTCTCTCTCTCTCTCCCTCTCCTTCTCTCTCCATACACCACACACACACACACACACACACACACACACACACACACACACACACATTTATATAACTAAATTTGTACTTAATATTCTAAACTAATGTTTACCTTTAACTTTGCTTAAATTAAAATATCTCTAAAAGAGCTATGAGCCTGATTTGAATGAGTCCACAGAACTTCTCAGCATGGAAACTAAAAAACAAATTTCAGAAATTACGTGCTGTGCCTCCTTTCCACTTTGCTTTCTCTTAGGTTCTTATTTCTAATTTATCCTTACCAGTCTGGGAACTGAATGCTGATAAAAATCTAAAAAGAAAACAAGTTCAAACAGACTTCCATGGGCCCTTTATGGTTAACCACCCAAACTGTGTGGTTCAAATGACTGAAAGAGGTTGGACATGTCACACCTAAATAAAGAAGGCTACTGACAACAGTGCCTAGGGAAAATGGACATCTTATCATTAAAAACCCCTTTGAAATTAAGACTAAGAAAAAACTGTTTTCAGTCTGGATATAGGAAAAAAATAACTTGGTAATTAATGTAACTAAACAGAGTCTTCTCTGATTGTCCAGCTTCATGCATGTCTAGTCTTACCCTGTAAAAACTTAGAAGAACTAGAGAAAATTTTCTTGGATTGGCAAATATATATGTTCAAGTTTCCCCCCATGGGTCATCTAAGGAGCCTTTAAAATTACTTCTAAAAGGAGCCTAAAGGACATATAACTTTGCTGCTTATAATTTACTTGTGTTATTATGAAATCATAACAATAACACCTTGATCTAAAAAAAATCTCTATTTCAAAATCTGAAAGGAGGGGCTGGAGAAATGGGTCAGAGGTTAGGAGCACTGGCTTCTCTTGCAGAAGACCTGCCTGTGTTCGAGTCCCAGCAAACACATGGCAGCTAACAACCATCTATAACTCCGGTTTCGGGGGAATTCAACACCCTCTTCTGATCTCTCTGGCAGCGCACAACACAGGTGGACTTACATACATGCAGGCAATATTCATAAACACAAAACAAAAATAATAAATAAAAGGTTTTTTTTAATCCAAAAGGAAAAACTATTAAAACAGTCCAAATCTTAAATCTTCCCATTTCCTGATGGGATCTCTGGTTGGCTCCATCTCTAAAGTCCAGTGTAGATTACTGTGGTACAAGAAATAGTTTTCAAACAGGATAAAAATATCCAAAAGACTGATCCATACTATTTTCCTATTAACTTAGTGATAAATGTAACTGAAACCTCATCACCCCTTACTATAAAATTTAATGCCTGACTAGTTTTAACAAATATGGCCAGGCAATTAAGATAAAAATTTGGTACAGATGTTAAGAATAAAAACCAAATATGGAAAATTGAATACATGGGTAAAATAGCTAAAATTTACAGTGCATGTGCTCAATAAGAGTGACTGTTATGCTTGTGTAGCAGGACATCCCTGGACCCAAGTAGTACCCTTCCCTCTTGAATGGAAGACTCCTCATGGAGTAATTGTACGCTTTGTATGCTGGCCCTGTTACAGGATGAGGAGGCATGGGGAAATAAGACTTGCCAGAGGCTGTTGTTCCTTTCCTTAGCTATACAGGCTGGCCCATGCAAACTTATCAGCAAGGAGAATAAACCACTTCTCATGTCTCAAGTCCCCCCTTTGTAAGATTATAAAGCCCAAACCTATGTTCTGAATGTCCCAGAAATGAAGGCACAAACTCTACACTCAGTGTCTCCTGAGCTGACTGACATCTGATGCTACTGCGGACCTTTACTCAAGTCTACCACCCAAATGGTGTAGGACTTGCCAGCTGATTCAATTGGCTCTACCCTTTACCCTGGCCTTCAAGTTTCCTCCTGGTGAAGCTAGACCCAGGGTTAACTCCAGTTTCAGGGTATTGGATGCCTTCTTTTCTTTGAGAGCACTGCAGGACACAGGTGCACTTACATACATGCACATGAAACACTCATACACAAAAATAAAAATAAGTAAATATCACCAGGCATGGTGGAGCACGCCTGTAGTCCCAGCACTTGGGAGGCAGAGGCAGGCAGATCTCTGTGAGTTCAAGGCCAGCCTGTTCTACATAGTGAGTTTCAGGACAGCTGGGACTACAGGAAGACCCTGTCTCAAAAAGACCAAAAAAATAAAAAGTAAATATTTTAAAAAGACTAAGGTCACAATGCTAACAAAAAAGAAAGATATTTGTATTATACTTTATGGGAGATAATTGTACTTTTATTTCAATAATACGGTTTCTGATGAAACAATTACAAAAGCTCTTTAGAAACTATTTGTCCAATGGGTTAGCAAAAATTTCAGAAATAAATCTTTTTCTCATTTTATAAAATGATGGGCTTAAAGATAAAAGGGAGTCCATTTGTTGTAGTTTAAAAGTCACAACTACAACTGGCTATTATTTGATCCCATGCATACAAGGGATAATTCAACAATTAATTAAAATAACAATTACTTAAAAAATTCTGGCCTCTTATCAATATATTACTAATGAATACCTCAGAACAAAAAGTCAATGTCTCTTCTGTTGAAAACATTTAAAAGTATACACTTACCATCCTTAACTCCAGTTCCAGGGGAATCTGAAGCCCTCTTTTGACCTCCACGACATTGCACAACACAGGTGAACTCACATACATGCAGGCAAAACACTAATACACATAAAGTAAAAATAATAAATAAAATATTTTTTAAAATTAACTAATTAAGAACTATATATAAAGACTCAGGAAGTAAATAAAACTTAGAAGGCTCAAGAAGATTTTGAAACTTAGAAGATGCACAAGACACTCCCCAGGGTAATGTCTGCCGTAACTGTGTTGGGGAAAGTAGACTGGTAAACACAACTGCTTGCAAGTTGTTCCAAGAGCTTTAAAAAAGCATCTTTCATGAGCTGTCCCCCATGCTGGGGTGGACTCTTCAGTGATACAGCTGTCCTAGAATTGCCCATGCTTCTGTACAAAAACAACAACAACAACAAAACCCTTTTAAAAACAAATCAAACTATCTCCCACCCTAAATTAGGCAGATATTATCTAATGTCTGGTCTGTTGTATTTATTCACTCTACTCTTTCTGTACTGATTTAGTTTGCTTTCACTGTCAGGTACGTTTCCCTGAGAATAAGTTTTTTTCTACAACTAAGCACAACAGGAAAGATCAATGGTTAGTTCTTGTATTGTTGGAATGGTTTTATCTCGTGTGTGTGTGTGTGTGTGTGTGTGTGTGTGTGTGTGTGTGGTGGGGACTTGCTAGGGGTTCGAACCAGTGACCCCCGGTACAGATTAGGGACGAGTAAGCATGCCATTCGCCAGCCCATGCTGCCCCCAGTACCCGGACACCCAGATGCAACGGGGGTCTAGTTAAGCAAGCAGGGACTCGTTTATTGCAGGTGTTACAGAGCTTATAAAGGCACCTGGAAATCCCCCCTTCCCTCTGAGGGTGTATCTTAAGGATGGTCACGCACTGATCATGCACGCCTCAGCAGTGCCCAAGTATTAGTCAGACTTTCAAAGCAAGCCAGGCCATGCCCCCAGTAACTTCCTTTCGGACCTATGCAAGGTGGGGCCTTTAGGTCCCCACAGAGATTAAGTCCAGGGTGTGGGGCATACTAGGCAAATGCTCCAACACCGAACTCCTCAGCTTCAATATTTTGTTGTGAGACAAGATCCTGCAGCTATGTTGCCCAGGATGGCTGAGTCAGTCACTAGAAGTGTAGTGTAGCTTTTTCCTCTCAGCCTGATGTCTGAAACCATGTAGCAAGTAGCAGCTCTGACCTACAGAAGACCTTAGTGTCTGCAGTTGGGGTGAGGAAATCAATACAACTCTAAATCTTTAGCTAGACCTGCAGGGATTAGCCTTAGCCTGATGGATCTCTTGGCAGGATCTCTTGGCCTGAGGTTCTCTTCTTGCCTGACCCTCTCCTGATATTCTAACCCCCATCTACTTATAAGCTATGGTGTGTAAGAGGTTAAAAAGTGGAATGAAGGTGAGACTTTTTGGTGGTTGCAAGTGTCCGTGAGTTGCCCATGCTCCTGTAAATAATCTTAAATGCATTAATTTGTAAAACTGGGAAGAATTTTTCTTTGGTCTGTTAGGTCCTTCCTTCATTTGGGGTGAATAAATATTTGGGGTCACACAACCACATACCACAGAAGGTGGTGGCACCTCTGGAGGTGGGGGCAACTCCAAGACAAATTCACTGAAACCTCCAAAGGGGATCACTTTCTGTGTGTGAGAGACTGATACTGTTTCACAGACATGACAAATCGCAAGGAGTTGCAACCAGTTTAGGGGAAAACTTTGTTGGATGATCTCAGTCTTTAACAGTATTATCTAGTTGCAGGATTACTGTTCGACTTTACCCAAAAAAATGAGTTACCCGATTTAAACTGCTTTTTACTTGGATTCAGAGGAAAGAACGATCTATCCCTACCCTTCCTTCCTCGACCAAGTGACCCTGATCCCCAAATTCAGCCTTCTTTGTACTGTTTTCCTTTAGAGTGGAAACTGTAAACTTTAGATTGATAACTAAGTACTGTAAACAACATTTCACCTAAGAAAAACTTATGGCATTTAAGTTTGTGAGAGAAAGATACAGTCCATGACCTCGCAGATCTGACAGTCTGCAAAGCAAACGTTAAGTCATCACTGACCTGGGGAGGCTCACCCAGAGGGGCAAAGCCTGCTCTCCGACCCAGGGCCCTGGTGCTGAGCACTAGGGGATGTTGTACGCAGACCTGGCTTGAGGCAGAGCCCTGTGACCAGGGGGAAGCGCCCTGACCCCCGGGCCTGGAGTAGCCCAATCCTAACTACCCCACCTACCCCACCCAAGGCGTTCGAACGTTGCCTCCAGCATCCGGGCACCAGAGTAGCCAACGGACCCGGGACCAGACCACTGGGTACTGGCGACCGCGGAGCTGCTTCTTCGCGCAGACCTCCAAGGTGGCGCCCCACGTCGAGGCGTGGCGGGAGGCGCCTTCCGAAGGCCTGCGCGAGGCGGGGCTGCCCGGGGATCCCAGCCAGAGTTGGGCCTGGGGCGCCGCCAGAGCGCTCGCGGCCGCTGGGCCAGGAGGGGCGGCTGCCGTGCAGCTGCCACACGAGCTGCCTGGAGGCACCGCTGTCATGCCTGCTCCAGCGCCTGGTCGGCGCGGTAGGCTCGCACCCCTGGCTGTTCCTGCTAGGGCCGTAGCTGCTGACCGCCGCGCTGGGCTCTGGCCTCATCTAGCTGCCGAAGGAGAAGGAGAACCTGGAGGAGCAGTACACGCCCGTCCGCAGCCCGGCCAAGGCAGAGCGGCGTTTCGTGCCGGGCCACTTCAGTACCATACTGCTTCTCGGCAGCCGGCACCAGCTCCGAGGCCAACTTCACATCCATCCTGGTGGTGTCGCTGCAGGACTCGCTGCTGGAGAAGATGTGCTCGGAGGTGAGCAGGCTGGACCACGCGGTGCAGGTGCTGACAGTGGTGCAGGAGAACAGGATGCGGATTGCCTACTGCGAGGCATGCGCCAAGTACCGGCGACTGTGCTGCCGCCCAAACCGATGCTGTTCTCCTGGCAGTCCCGAGCGTCGCTGGACCTAAGGAACCTCACCTTCCGCATCCACAACATGTCGGGCCACCTCATCCACCTGGCCCCCTCCTTCGCGGGAAACCTCTTGGGCGAGAAGATTGGGATGGGCCAGTGCCTGCTGGAGTCCAGCGCCTTGCGGCTCCTCTACTTCCTGAAGACTGAGGGCCCCGAGGACAGTGAGTGCAACAAGGCCTGGCTCACCCTCTTTCTAGATCATTTCGAGGACGTAAAGCAGAGCCGGGCTCTGCAGAAGGTCGAGGTACCAGGAGGTTAGGGTTTGTGGGGAGGCAGGAGACTGGAGGAGGAGGTGTCTTGTTGGACCGGGCCCTGGAGTTAGGGCTCTACTGACCTTGGAGCTTAAGCCAACCTAGACACAGAGGGATGCAAAAAGCTGGTCTCCAGCAAAGAACCCGCATCAACCCGTTTGGTGCAGAAATTGATTTTCTAATTAAGCCACCCGAATATTCTTTCTTCTGAAAGTGAGTCCTCTCTGGTACCCCGGGAGCCCCTAAAATATGCTCTGCTCAGGGGGATTAAGGACCAGAACTCTGAAGTTCTATCGCGTTGTTTAAAAAGATGGCTAGCTCTGCACCTTTTCTGGTTAGTTTCAGCAAAGGTGCCCAGCTTCCTAGGAAGCACATAGCTGTTTAGAAGCTTCGGGCCAGCAGTACCAATAGATAAAAACCTGGTTAAAGCAGAATGCCTACTGGAGGACTGTCTTTCCCAAAGTGACATTGATACAATTACAATACTAAAAGATTTCTTTTAACGCCACGATTTCCACACTTCTCAGTGAAGGCAGGGTTTCACAGCTGTGTGTTTAAACGTTAGAGTTTGCACCAGATCTTTGGCAAAAGGTTGAGAAATGACTGAAGTTTGCATTTTGAAGAAGGATGGAAGGCACAATGTGGATTCAGTGGGAAGAGGCGAATCTTCCACTTTTTTTTAAACCACAAGTCTACCAACAAAATAAAGTGCTGCTGTAGTGTTGGTAACTCTTAGACTGTGGAATCAATATTCATTTCCTAGCATGTTTTTGTTGCAGGTGGTCTACTTTATATCCCTTTCCAGACAGCTGGAATTCGAGGCAACGTCCAAGACTGTGATCCCACTGTTCCACTTGGCCTATGTTCTAATCATACTTTCTGTGGTTATATCATGCTTCAGGTAAAGCTTTCACTAATTTTTTATTTCTTACATTGTAAAAACTGTTGTGGGGCTGGAGAGATGCCTCAGTGGTTAAAAACATTTGCTGCTCTTGCAGAGGACCTGGGTTCCATTCCCAGCACCCACGTGGCTGCTAAACACTGTCTGGACTTCGGTTCTAGGGAATCTGATGATCTCTTCTGGTCTCTGCAGGCACTGCATGCACATTGTGTACATAGATGCAGGCAAAACACTCATATGCATAAAATTTTTTAAAATTTAAACTTTATTGTGATAAAACATGTAATAAACTATTCCATCTTAACAGTTTTAAATGTAGAATTCAGTGGCATTATTTCTACCTTGTCAAGAAACCATCACAACTACTGGTTCCCAAATTTCCCCACCACTACTGACAGATAACTCTGTGGCCATTATGTAGTTACCTCCCTAGACCCTCTCCCCCAGTACCAAACATTAGTCTACTTTTTATGTCTGAATTTGTCTCTTCTAGAGTGTTTTCCTTTCTGTTCTTTATAAGTTACTCAGTCTACGGTATTTCGTTTTAGGAAGCAGAACAGGCTAAGACACTCCTGTCAGCTTTGGTTTACTCTCTTCTGGTTTTATAAGATTTTAAGTCATTTTAGTTTTTCTCTTGTAGTGTACATGTCTATAGTCAGAAATGTGCCATGTCACTTCATTCCACAAGTTATGATATTGTATTTTCTGGTGTTCTGATAAAATACCATGGCCAAAAGCAACCTAAGGAAGAATGGGTTTATTTTGGCTTATGGTTTCAGAAGGATAGAGTTCATCATGGTGGGAAAGTCATGCATTCTAGTGTATTTCTCCATTGCTGTAACAAAACACTCTGACCAATACCAACCAACTTGGAGAGGAAAGGGTTTACTTGGCTTACTTCTCCTGAGTCACACAGTTCATCAAGGAGCCCAAGGTAGGAACTCAGGGCAGGAACCTGGAGGCAGGATCTGGAGCACAGACCATAGAAGAGTGCTGCTTACTGGCTTGCTCCCTTGGTCCATGCTCAACCTGTTTTCTTATAAAATATAGAACAACCTGCCCAGGGGTGGCACCACCTACAGCGGGTTGGGTTCTCCCACATCACTCAAAAATCAAGAAAATACCCCAAAGGCATGGCCACAGGCCAGTCTAATGGAAACAATTCCCCAGTTGAGGCTCCCTCTACCCATTTGTGTCAAGTTGACAACTAAAGCTATCCAGCACAGTATGGCATGGCAGCAGGAAGAGGAAGGTGGCTGCTCACATTTCATCCATACCCAGGAAACAAAATAGGAAGTGGGGCAAGACTCTAAACCCTCAAAGCCCACCCCTAGTGACATACTTCCTCCAGCAAGGCTCCACTTTGTAAAGGTTCCATAATTTCCCCCAAACAATATCAGCAACTGAGGACCAAGTGTTCAAATATATGAGCTTATGGAGGCGCTTCAATTCATTCAAGCTGCCATATTCCAGCCCTGGTCCCCACTGGCTCATGACCATTTCATGATGCAAAATGCATTTAGTTCAAATTCAAAAGTGCTCATAGTTTTTATTTTTTGGGACAGGGTCTCCCTATAGCCACAGCTGGATGGGAACTCACTATGTAGACCAGGCTGGCCTTGGTCTCAGATATCTGCTTGTCTCTGTCTCCTGTGTACTGGAACTAAAACCATGCACCACAACACCCCACCTGAGTCTTTGTAAGTCTTTAATAGTCTGAACACTATTCAAAAATCAGCTTCTTCTGAAACACAAGGCAATCTCTTAAACTGTGACACCCCTCCCTGTAAAATCATTACATACTTCCAACGTAAAGTGGTACAGCTTACATATTACCATTCCAAGCAATGAGGAAAGACTGGAACAAAGCAGAAAAAAACCCAGCAGAGCACATGAAATCCTGCAGCTCTGTGTCTAGGATCTGGACCTTCAGTTACAAAGGGCTCAGATGGCTCTGCCCCTCCACCCTTGCTGCCTGCCACACCTCTCTTGGGCTAATCTCATGCTCTTTGAACAGCTCTTCATGGAAGAGCTCTCATGGCTTTGGCAACCCCAACATCCTGGGACCTGCTCTTGACTGCAACATGAAGCGTCCCTGTGCGTTCTTCCTCTCCAGGCTGCACGTTTTCATTTCTTTCTGCCCTTCCTTGTTGCTCTTTTTCACTGTAGATCTGCACTAGTGTAATAAGCAGTTTGCTTTGGCTTACAGTTCTAGAAGAAGGGGGTCCTTCAGAGTGGGGAAGGTGGCAGGATCAGGAAACTGGCCAATAATAGTTCACCCACACACAGGAAGCCAAGAGAAACAAGAAGTGGTGTCAGTTTATAAAGCCTCAAAGCCTGCCCCCACTGACATACTTCCTCTAACAGGGTTCCACCTCCTAACAGTCCCATAACCTCCTTAAACAACACTACCAATGGGGACCAAGTGTTCAAATATACTGGGGGGAAGTATTTTCCATTCAAGCCAATGTGGATATGTTGTGTGTTCATTCTGTTCACTGTATTCTTTCTAATCTTTTGTAGTTTCCTCTTTGAATAATAGTGTGTTGTTTAATTTTTGAATATTTGTTAATTTTTCAGTTTTCTATTGATTTGTAGTTTATTCTGCTCTTGGTTAAAAAGATACTTCATATAATTTCACATTTTTAAAATATTTGTTTAGATGCCTTTTCAAACCTAGCATGTATCTATCCTGGCGAAAGTTACACGTGTATGTGAATAACAGGGTCTAATATGTTTATTGTTCTTTACTTTTCCATAACTGGAAACCTGGGCCTCAGTATAGTGAGGTTGGGAGAAGTGACACCTTTAAGGTCACTGGAGGTGCTCCCTCAGAAGCCAAGGATATAGTTCCCTTGAGACCTCCATTACTTCCCATGATAGTGAGTTGTTACAAAAACAGCAAGCCTGGCTGCTGGATCTACCAATTTTCCTATTCTGCCTTATGTGGTCCCTCTCTCCACATGCTTCCCACCACAGTGGTACCTACTGTGTTATGATACAGTTGGGGGGGGGTCTTACAAAGATACTGAATCATGCTCTTGGACCTCTAGAACTGTGAACTGAGAAAATATTTTTTCTTTTCATAAAATGTCCAGCCTCCGGTATTTTGCTACAAGCAACAGAAGATGGACCAGGTAGAGTTAACTGCTTGCAGTGATTTTAGTAGATCTCTATTCTGAAATGCTACTCAGTGGAATGGTATTTGGACAGTTGGCCAAGAATTGTGCAGGACGCTTTAGAGATTCCCAACTTAGTTGTCCCTTTTATTTTTTGTCAGTTGGTATGGGATGGTACCTGTGAGTTGAAGGTCTAGAGCAGACAAATGTGAAAATTATCAGCCCAGAGCTTTCTGCCTAGACATCTGTCAATTTCAATATGGACATCATCATTTTAAAGACGTCATCTGCTTTAAATTTGCAGGTTGAACTGTAAAGACTTTAAAGACGTCATCTGCTTTAAATTTGCAGGTTGAACTGTATAAGAAACAAAATGTGTGTTGCGGTCTTTGGCGTATTTGCCTTGGTCCTGTCAGTGGTGAGTGGCTTTGGCCTGATGGTGCACATTGGGGTGCCATTTGTGATCATAGTTGCAAATTCACCATTTCTTATCCTTGGTGAGTAAAGCAGAATAGGAGGCTTCGTGCTGTGTCTGTGAGAATGAATTACAGAAGTCACTGGAAATAGAAGAAACATCTTGTATCAAATTAAATTAAAAATAAGTTTTCTTTGCACATTAATTAGTACCAGAAAGATTGACAATTTGGGATGTTGGTGCAAATGAGCACCCCACACTTTACTGCAGGAAAAATGTAAATTGGTGTGCCTCCCCCACCCAGTTTGCAACAAATCAAATGAATTAAAAAGAATGGAGAACCATCGACCAGCAATTTCCCTTCTAGGAATTTGATCTGATAATTGTAATTGATTAAAAGTAAGACAAATAGGTTTATTTAGGGTATTTTAGAATAAGAAAATATTGGAACCCTATCCCATATGAATGTGGTATTTATCAAATAAAACATTAAAATATTGGAATCATATTCAGTCTTTTTAAAAAGATAGAAATATGATTATATTAAATGAAAATTTCTGGTTGTAAAGCAAGACCGTTGTGACAGATAATTATGTGGGTATATTTACACAGAGCAAATTCTAGATGGATGGTCTTATAACACATTCAAGATTATCCTTGAAGGGAAGGGTATAGCTGCTTTTCATGCTTCTGCTACTTTAAAATTTTATTTTACGTAGGCACAAGAAAATAAAGATTGCCATATCTATATTAGAAACTAAGCATTTTGGAGGAAATCATCTTGGGTTTCCTGGAAGAGACAGTAGATGGGTTTGCATTGTTTGTCAGTTTAACTGGGCTCTCCATGGTACACCCTCTTATATAAGCTCAGCCATGGTGCCCCCACAGTCATTAAAAAACTATAGTTAAAAAGGATATAACTGATCTACTGTGAGGCACTTTTGTATACTCTGTATATACAGGAGTATGTGTGTGCATAAGTATATGTGATTCCAGCAACTTAAGAACTGTGAGGACAATTTCTGAACAAGTTTCTATACATAGTACCATGAGTGTTTAAACACCTGAGAGATGTCAGTGCATTCCACTGGCACCAGTGCCTTTGGTTATTTCTTCTATACAGCTGGGAGCAGCTGGTGGCCATGGGGTACCACCATGCTGTCTCTGACAGACCTCCCTAGCTTTGACAAATTTTGGATCTTTCTACCTCAATCATGTCCATAAATATCTGAACTACAGGCCAGCCTGTGATTCCCAGTTTTCTACCAACCTTAACTTATATTCTGTGAAGACAAAATTGAAGTTAATATCAGCATTTCAGTCTCAAGACCCGATCCTATGTAAACATACACAGAAACTAACGCACACAAAAGTGCAAGCAGTCTGAACTGCGGGTGAACTTCAGAGGGAGACAGAACTGATTGGCAGCAGGCTCAGACTGACTGTCCTTTCCGGTCCCGTTCTTCACTGTCCTCTTTTGTTCTCCTGTATTGGCGATGTCACAGCTCTTCAACGTTCTTCTGCTTCAAAGCAATCACGAAATGTCATTGTGAAAAGAAGCCAATTAGCTAGTAGGCATTAGTATGCAAAGGATTCTTAAGATTCACTCTTTCACACATTTCTGATCTCAGGCACAGTGAGACCATGCCTCTACAGCATGCAAGGTATTAAAGAGAGACCAGGAGGAAAACCAGATGTGTGCAGGTGTCCATGTCTGGGCAGGTGTCTACAAACTGTGAGATACAATTCAAATGGTACCATTTAGATGGCCTTATGTTATCTGTAGACACACTTGCCAACTTTATATTTCAAGCAGCAGAATGTTTGATGGGTGTGTTTGTGTATTAGTGTGAAATTGCTTATAGAACCAAAACTATATTACTGATGGTGCCTTAAGTGGCATCTGCAGACTGGGTGTCGTCAATTTTTCACAAAGACACCCTGGGTGAACACTAGAAAGAGAGTCCTCTATGCTGTGCACAAATAGTGTAAGCGTCTAGAAAACTGAGACTAGAGAGGAAGGCATGACAATTTCTGTTGTGAATTCAGAGATAGTATTACAAGGAAGACTGTTTAAGCAGAGACTGCAAGACAGGTGAGGCTTTGAGATAGAAAACAGTCAATATAACTGCTGATATATATATATATCAATATATATCAATATATATATCAATATATATATATTGGAGATCCTGCTGTTCTGTTACAGGTGTTGGGGTTGATGACATGTTTATCATGATTTCTGCCTGGAAGAAGACCGGCCTTAAGGACAGTGTAAGAGAACGAATCTCCAGTTCTTATTTCAGGGTGGCAGTGTCCATTACAATCACCACCACCACCAGCGTCCTGGCCTTCTACACAGGAATCACCAGCTCCTTCGGGTCCGTACAGTACTTCTGCATCTACACAGGAGCAACCCTAATCTTTTGTTATTTTTATAGTATCACCTGTTTTGGAGCAATTATGGCCCTGGATGGTAAATGAGAATTTGCCTGTCTCCGCTGGTTAGAAAATCCTGACCAGAAGTTTTCCTCATTAAAAAAGACCTGCTGTCTCCCATTCTGCTGTTCTCCAGATGAAAATGGAGAAGATGAACATCCAATGAATTTGTTCTTCAGAGACTGTTTTGGTCCATTTCTCACAACTACCAAAGCCAAGTTTTCGGTAGTGCTGATATACATTTTTTACATCATAAGCAGTATATGTGGGTGTTTCCAAGTGCAGGAAGGGTTAGACCTTCGTAATCTAGCAAATGATGATTCCTACATCACACCATATTTTAATGTCGAGGAAGATTACTTCTCAGATTATGGCCCAAGGGTTGTGGTTATTGTTACTGAAAGCATCAACTACTGGGACAAAGATGTAAGACAGACCCTGAACAAATGTATGGTAAAATTTGAAGAAAATGAATATGTAGATAAAAATCTCACAGATGTTTGGTTGGAAGCATATGTTCAGTTTATGAAAAATACTGGAAATGATCCAAATAATAAGAATGCTTTTATGACTAATATTGGTGGCTTTTTAAGACTTTATCCTGTTTTCACATATGATATTAATATTTCAACATCAAATGAAATCTCTTCTTCCCGGTTCTTCATCCAGACTATAGGGGTTTCCTCTTCCAGCAGTAAGAAGAAAATGCTGCTGCAGTTACGGGGCATCGCTGAAAACTGCGATGTCCCCCTGATGGTGTACAACCCAGCCTTCATCTATTTTGATCAGCTTGCTGCAGTCATCAAGAACACTGTGCGGAACGTGATAATTGCAACCACAGCTATGTTCATTGTCTCCTTGTTGTTAATCCCTCATCCGGTGTGTTCCTTGTGGGTCACTTTTGCTATTGCTTCTGTGATTGTGGGGGTGACAGGTTTCATGGTATTCTGGAATGTCAACCTTGACTCCATATCCATGATTAATCTTCTCATTTGTATCGGATTTTCTTTTGATTTTTCTGCATACTTCTCCTATGCATTTGTTTCCAGTTCTGAGACCTCGGTAAACAAAAAGTGCATCGAGGCATTATACATGCTAGGCTACCCAGTGTTGCAAAGTGCCATTCAACAATAATAGGCATGTGTGTTTTATCTGCAGCTAAAGCATACATATTCAGAACGTTTTTTAAGATTATGTTTCTTGTTATGATTTTGGGGGCTGCTCATGGCCTAATTTTTATTCCAGCATTCGTAACCTTTTTTAAAAAGTAAGTTTGAACATCCAGTAACAAAGAATTCTAACCAGTTATAGAATTCCCAATGGTCCCAATCCAGTCTGATCACAAAATGCACTATAAAGACTAGTCAGTAGAAAAGAGAGAAGTGAAAGTACCGAGGTTGTTGGGGAAGGAGAACCAGGGGTAGGCAGGGAGGGAAGGGAGGGTAATGTGGGCTGTGAGAAAATACATTACACACATGTATGAAAAGGTCTCAATGAAAACCATTAGTTTCTCAAGTTGATATACACTAACAGGATATAAATTACTGATATATAATTGAAATGAAAGGATTAAAACAGTCAATCTATTTTAAAGACATGTTTCCTTGACCTGGAAAACCCATATTGTTATTCAACATATTTTATGAAAAATTAGTCTTATATTAAAATATTGTTACTGAATTAAGAAAAGTGTTCTTTTTTATCCTAGTTTCTACAATCAATATATGGTATAACAGTCCACTCATTTTTCTTTTTATTTCATCCTTAGAATTGCATTCCCAGAATCCTAGTAATTATTATCTCCATACTATGTATTTTGGGATTTTTTTAAACACAGGGTCTCCCTTTAGTCCCAGCTAGCTTGGAACTTGCTATGGAGACCATGCTCACCTTGCTCTCACAGAAATCCACCTGCCTCTGACTCCCAAGTGCATGCACCACCATGCTTGGCTATGTCCATGGAAGAAATGGCGTATGATCTTTACTGTACATCGTACATTTATTATCGTATTACATGAAGCTTGTTTACTCCCCAAGTTGGAGGCCTTCCTAAATATTTTCTTGTGTGTGTGTAGGAGGTGTCCATATGTGTGCATATGTATGAGTGCACTCACCCATGTGTGCCAATGTGGAGGCTAGAGTTGATGCTGGAATGGTTTCCTTTAATGCTTTGCACTTTATTTTTTGAATCGAGGTCTCTCTGAACCTGGAGCTCTCTGTTTTGGCTACATTGAATGGTAAATGAGTTTCTTGGATCTGCCTGTTTCTTCCTCTAGCACTGGCTTCTCAGGCCTGTGCTGCCAGGCCAACATCTTTCCTCTGTGCCCTGGGGATCTGAACTCAGGCCCTTATGCATTCATGACAAGTACTTTATCTACTGCTGTCTCCCCAGCCTCATCTAAATATCATCCTAATGGCGTATGCTGATGAAGAGAAGTTTCTAAAGTTTATAAATGCCATATATCATTTGTAAGGGTTAAGGTTATAGGTTATAGCTAAGGTTAGACATTAGGTTAGGTTAGGGTTTAGAGTAGAGGTAGGGTTAGGGTCTGAGGGTCAGGTTTTAGGGCTAGAGTTAAGGGCAGAGTTAGGGTTAGGGTTAGGGTTGGGGTTGGGGATGGGGTTGGTGTTGGTGTTGGGATTGCGGTTGGGGATGGGTTTGGGGCTGGGGTTGGGGTTAGGCTTGGGGTTGGGGTTAGGGTTAGGGTTAGGGTTAGGGTTGTTAGAGTTAAGTTAGGGTTGGTTAGGGTTAGGGTTTTAAGGTTAGGGTTAGGGTTTTAGGGTTAGGGTTAGGGTTAAGGTTAGGTTAGGGTTACGGTTTTAGGGTTAGGGTCAGGTTAGGGTTAAGGATTAGGGTTAGGGTTAGGTTTAGGGTTTTAGGGTTAGGGTTAGGGTTAGGGTTAAGGTTAGGGTTAGGGTTAGGGTTTTAGGGTTAGGGTCAGGTTAGGTTTAGGGGTTAGGGTTAGGGTTAGGGTTTAGGGTTAGGGTTAGGGTTAAGTTTAGGGTTATTGTTAGGGTTAGGGTAAGAGTTAGGGTTAAGTTTAGGGTTAGGGTTAGGGTTTTAGGGTTAGGGTTAGGGTTAGAGATAGGTTTACAGTTAGGGTTAGGGTTAGGCTTAGGGGTAGGGTTTAAGGTTAGGGTTAGGATTAGGGTTAGGTTTTAGGGTTAGGGTTAAAAAGTATTGCACTGATCTGAATATCAAAGATACTATATACACAAGTAAGCTAATGTTCCTGTTGAACACCAATGCAAAAATCTTCAAGAAATTCAGGAAAATTGTCTACAATAGCACAATGAAAAGTTCAAATAAGGAAAAATGAGAGCATATTCTGGCATATTCTGCTTTCTTCTTTAGTGTGTAAGAGCTTCGATGTCACAGCTCTGCATTAACAAGATAAACACTAAGCAGATTAAAACACCAACACTTATCATATCCATAAGAAAGGTGTGGACACAGATGAAACTACTTTGCCTAAATTTTGGAGAAGAGGCAAATAAAAAGACGTATGGCTTATAGGAGCAGAGGGGCACATGAATAAATATGATGAGAATTAATCTTGAGATTGAAATCTATGAATGGTAGTCCATAAATTTTTAAAGGTTTTGAGTGGACAAGTCCGATATTTAAAATAAAACAAAACACAACTTCTGCAGGACCCAAGTTCATGGTTTTTAATCATCTTCCGAAGCTAGACTCAGGTCACAAAGTGAATATTGGAAAAAAACTTCTTTCTTTTGGCAGAGAGCCATTTTGAAATCTAACAGGACACTCTTTTCCCCCCTCTTCTCCCCCAAACTTGGTGCTTGCTGTTTTTGCTTGGCTGCATGGCCATTGAGCCTCTGGGATCCTCCTGTCTCTGCTGCCTCCGAGCTGGGGTCATGGGCACACATCCCTGGATTTTACATGATGTGTTCTGGAAATCCAAAGTCAGGTCCCCATGCAAGCAGGAGGCACTTTTCCCACCCAACCATCTCCCAATCGAGGACATTCTGCTCATCTGCTCTGTAGAGGTAATTACCTTCAAGGAAACTAACCACAGCCTAACGTGGGAACTTCAATAGCCATATCAAATGAACCAACAAAAGGAAAGCATTTCCAAAACTTACGAGCCAAAAATCTTTATAACCTTCAAATTTTCAGTTTTTTTTTCCATACTTTCCATTGATGTATTTGGAAAACTAGAGCTCATGAGGTTATTCCAAGAAGCTGAGTTCAAAGTGGACACTGACTGACTGCAAATCCTATGAAAATAGTGGACACTGACTGACTGCAAATCCTATGAAAATAAGCCACTGTGTTCATGAAAAGCAGTCCAAAGCTTTTGTCTCATGTGTCAGTTTAAAAGGATTCTGAAGAAATGCTCCAAAGAGAGTACTGGGATTGTTCAACTGTATCTGCTATGAGCATAAGAGAGTTAACATGTGCGTCAGGTATTCTTGGCTTTTCAGTGGCATGTTCTCAACAGGCATGGGATTGAACATCCTTAAATATCTCCATATTAGATTTGGAAGCAAGCAAATTTAGTTAAATGACAGAATTTCTCAAATATTTTAAACTTTATTGAAATACTGGTTCTTCATGCTTTTGAAACGTGACAGGCTGTGTCTGTATTTGAGTGCTTGTCCACAACTACTCAGGTAAGGTATTACTAAAGTCCAATTAGACAAAACTAGTAATGCAGGAAAATAAACACAAGCTGTTTACGTAGTACTATACATTACTATTTTAAAATAATGTTATGCTCTTCACGAACACATTACAAATTATCTCAGATACCAATGGTATATGTGCATACATTCATGAAAACACTCAAACACATAAAATAAAATAAACAAGCCTTTAAGAAGATTTATAAAAATTAATATGCTGATTTTATATCCTGCTACTTAATGTATCAGATCAGGAGTTTCTATTTTTGGCAGAGTCCATGAAGTATTTTAACTCTAGAATCAAGTTGTCTGCAAACAGGGACAGTTTGAGGTCTTCTTTTCAAATATTCATGATTTTCATATATTTTTCTTGTCTTATTGCTCTAGTTAAGATTTTGAGCATTATACTGAGTGAATGTGGAGAGAGTGGACAACCTTGACTTATGCTTGATTTTAGAGGAAGTGATCTCAGTTTTTCTGTATTTAGTAAAACTTCGGTTATATGTTTGTGATATATAGCCTTGATTATGTTGAAGTAAGCTCTGTGTAATGTTTGTTTCTTCAGAATTTGAAGTGTGAAGGTGGGGTGAACTTTGTCAAGTGTCTTTTCTGCATCTATTGAAATATTCTGTCTCTATTAAATGGTGTATTATATTTATTGATTGGTGTATATAGAATCAATCTTGCATTACTTAGATAAAACATACCTGGTCATAGACTATGTGGTGATTTGAAGGAGAGTGTCCCCCATAGGTTCCAAGTATTTGCATACTTGGTTCCCATTTGGTGGCACTGTTTGTGGAGGGTCATAGAATGTGACCATGCTGGAGGAAGCACATCACTACTGGGGATCCAGCTTTGAGAATATATATAGTCATGGCTACTTCCAGTCTGGTTCTCTGCTTACTGTACCGGCTCAAAAATTTTTGTGCTTAGATCTCTGCTTCAGCTGCCTCTTGCCATGCCTGCCCCCACCATATTGGACTTTTATATCTCTGGAACTGTAAGTGCAATAAACTCTTCCTTCTATAAGTTGCCTTAGTCATGGTGTTTTATCAGAGCAACAGAAAGTATCCAATACAGTATATGATTATCTTAATGTGATCTTGACTTTAATTTGTGAATATTTTGTTGAGGAATTTTTGCATCTATGTTCATCAGTGAGATTGATTAGTAGTTTTCTTTTTTATTGTGTCTTTATTTGATTTTGGTATTTGTGATAGTTAATATCAATGGCTAACTTGATGATATCTAGAATCATCTGGGGAGATAGTCTCTGGGCACACCTGTGGGAACTCTCTTATTAAATTAAGAGAAGTGGGGAGACCCCCCCTTGAAGTGGGATCTTATATGAAATAAAAAGAAGAAAGTAGGTTGAGCATAAGCTCTCATTTCTTTCTGCTTATTGATTGTGGACACAAGCTCTTGATGCTGTGATTTTCCTTTCATGATGGACTGCAGCCTGGAACTGTGAGCTAAAATAAATCTTTTCTTCTTTAAGTTTTGTTAGGGCATTTTATTACAATTTTGTCAGAATATTTTATAACAGCAAAAGATAAAGTAACAGGATGATATCAGAGTTATGCTAACTTCATAGAATGAGTTTGATAGTGTTCCTTTC